GCTCAGTAGGCTAGATTAGGGAAGGTTAGTAGTTGCAGGAGGATTCCTCTTCCATATGACTGAGGAGGCAATTCTACAGTCAGCCTCTGCTTCAGTCACACTTTGGAAAAGTGACTTCTTCGAACAAAAATTTTCCTGCTTCTTTTTTTGCCCCAAGCTGGAATCTGAGGAAGGCTGTTAGCTGTGACAGGGTATTTGTGAATAAGAAGTTTTTTTAATTAAATAAAAATGATTTATTTCTATTTGAAATAACTTGCAATAGATTTAGTCTTTTTAATAAGATCCAGTGTCTGACACATCGGAAGAAAAAGGGTGTTAGAAAACCAAGCAAGAGGATGAATAGTATGCATGAATGGTGCAGAGTTTTCAAACGGAAATGGCACGCCACACGTGAATACACTATACTTGTGTGTATTTGTTCAAGAGCTTTGCTCACTCTAATGTTCCAAATCATCACGGTTCTCTCCAGTTTTCTTATAAATCGGGAAATTTAAAGCAACACCTGTAAGGGAGGAAATTGAAGCCTTGATTCAGAAAAGCATTTAAGCACATGGTATCAAAGTCAGTCCTTTAGTGCAGTGTTTCCCAAGCAGAGGTCTGCGGAACCTCGGGGTTCCACAGACCATCGTCAGGGGTTCCGCGAGACATCGTGGAATAAATAAATAAAAAGTGCACACAGTTTTTTTTTCTTACAATGTAAGCTGACATATATATATATATATATATATAACAGCTCCTTACAAATACATTTTCTTGACAATAATTTAGCAGTAATTGAATTGTGCTCCCCGCCGTTAACTTTTTCTGGCCAAGCAAACATTTTCATAGGTAGGGGTTCCTCGGGATATGAAAAATTATTTTAGGGGTTCCTCCATGAGAAAAAGGTTGGCAATCACTGCGTTAGTGCTTTGCTGAATTGGGTTTGAAGACTAATGGGTCTAGAGCTGTGGTTCTTTAACTTATTTAAAGAACGTATCCCTATTCTTTGGGGATGGTGGACCCTTTATCACTGAAGGTTCTAACAGCTTTCTGAATGGTATCCTTCCTCCTTAGCAATCTATCCACTGACTTTGATCTTTATCTACTCAGGTTTAGCACCCTTTCTCCTGATACTTTATGTATAGATGTAGAGGGGTGGGCGACAGAGCATCTTTCTCTCTCTCCCCCCTCCCCCTCCTTCCCTTCTCCTATTTATTTCGAGTTTTCTTATCCCCTAGTCATAACTCTGGTCATCTGAAGAAGTGGGCTGTGCTCACGAAAGCTCATGATACCATCTACATGTTTTGTTAGTCTATAAAGTGCTACCAGACTATTTGCTTGCTGTTTTCCCCCTATTCTTTGTGTCTAATTGTTTAGACTCCATGTCTATTCTTCCCCCTTCCCCCCCACTCCCAGCTCTGATGGCAGAGCAGCGGTCATTGGCCAGGTCAGGCGCCCAGCTCTGAAGGCAGGACCACGCCCACAGTAGCACAGAAGACAGGACTATGTAGCACTTTAAAGACTAACAAGATGGTTTATTAGGTGATGAGCTTTCGTGGGCCAGACCCACTTCCTCAGATCACAGAAGTAAGGGTTGCAATGAGAGCTGTTATTTGTCTGTCACTTTTCACAGCAGACTCAGCACTCCATTGCCACCCTACTGTGTTGCTGCCGCCACCTAGAGATTGTCAGCTGGAGCCCTGCCACTCTCTCCTGGGGAGGGGAGGGGGAAGGAGCTCTGATTGTTGGCCCATGGGCAGTGAGGCTCAGCCAGTTACCCTTATTCAACCCCCCTCCTGCCTTGGGTGTGCACGGCCCTTCTGCATAAGCCCGTCATCCAAGGCAGAGCTTTTTTTTCCATTTGTTTTTAAGTGCACAGCAAGGAAGCCTGCCCCACAGATGGGCCCAATGACTTGGTCGCACTCTGTATCCTGTAGCATAAAACTTAAGCACACTGAGTAAGACAAAATAGTATGAAGGTACCAGAGCCAAGGTATCATTGCTGAGGGAACCATAGCTTTGGATTGTCAAACTCTTACACATTTATCTGTAACTTTTTCTTAACATGTTTCTTGGATTGTTTAAATTGGGATATTTATTTTCCTGTGTTCTCTGTGCAGATATCCCCAGCTGTTTGGTGCTGGCATGTTATCTGGAGTGTTCACAACAACAATCATGGCTCCAGGAGAGAGGATCAAGTGCCTTTTACAGGTGAGATTCAGTGTGTGGAGGAGGAGGAGAAATTCCCACCTTTAATTTAGGACTATTGTCTGATCTAAAAAGATCTTGCTAGGAAGTTATACTCCTAATTAGTATAGTCATTCTGCACTAAATTAAAAAACAAACAAACCACCTTTCAGCAGGGCTGAGGCATACCTTGATGTGAGTCAGTTTATACCGCCTTCTGTTGACAATCCGTTTGGTAAATACAACGGCACTTCTGTAATCAGCCTGGGATACTAGCTGACCTCTTGGGCACTTCAGAAATCTGGAGAGTATCTCATCTTATCATGTAATCAAAGCCTTTATAGCAGCATTCTGGTCTGTGAAGCTCTTGCATGGTAAAGATTTTGGCCCGAGTTCCCTGGAATCTTATTTTAAAAATATATAAAATGAGTCTAGTGACCATGAACTTTCAACCAGTCACAGCTCTTGGTTTTTCAAACCCTGCTGGGAAATGCAAATTTGAACAAATGAAAATACTGTCTGTGCCAGATCTTCTGATCTCTACCCTCTCTCACGCTGATTGTGGTACTTCTTAGTCTTGTAGTGGATGTTAGACTTTGATTCCAACATGCAAAGCATTATCACATAACATCTATTACTCGTAAATATTGTCTTGAGTTCTAGGTCATTATTTTGGGGTAAGATTACAATCAGTGTAAATCTGGAGTAACTTGACTGATTTCAGCTGTTGTTTCAAACTTAAACTGGTGAAAATTAGATAGGCATTTGATCTAGCCAGTGCATGGTTCAGTAAACACAAGTGGAAGCAAATCCTTTTCAGTCTTGGTCAGAGAGAAATTTCATTAAGTGTAAACTATGCAGTGGCGTAACACAGAGGGGAATGAGTTTTAGAGGGATTTTGGGATTGTGAGCTCTGGGACAATTTCTGATCAGAGACTGGCCTTCCTTTCCACTGGTGTTTTTGCTGTGAATCTCTGGAGATACATTGGCCTAGGGATGTCTGCCAATTAAGGAAAGACTGTACCATAAAAGGGAGGGCAAGTGAGCTGGGAATATGGTGACTTCACATGCATTGTACCAGTTTGTCTGTATATCAACAGGAGCCCCGTGGCTTCTGCTTATATGAAAAGGGCTGAGCTGTTAACTTCCTCTTGGCAATTTAACTTCAGAAAGCACAAGTCTTCCAACTTATTATTTGGGTTATGCCTGGTAAACAATCACTTTAATTCTCCAGATCCAGGCTGCTTCAGGTGAAATTAAATATGGCGGCCCAATGGATTGTGCGAAACAGCTGTACCGTGAGGCTGGAATTCGAGGCATATACAAGGGAACTGTGCTCACCCTCCTGAGAGGTACGGACAGTAAATGTATTCTAATAGTATCCCTGCAGGAAGGGAAACATCGGAACAAAACTGACCCAACATTGTAAATCTCACTCTGGGACACTGAGAGATGCTCTTGTATTTTCACAGCACCCCTTGTCTCAAGCAGATTGAGAACTGAGACGAGGATGCATTGCAGTCTCTGTGGGGATGGTGGGAGGGGAGGACTAGAGGGGTAAAAAGAGAATGAGGGGAAAGGAGCAGCACTAGAGATGTACGTAAGAGGAGGCAAAAACCAATAACATCGCAGAGCAGATGGTCTAAGAACACGAAGATAAAACAGGAAGCTAGCTTTTCCTTAGCTTTGGGATGGGATTTATACACATCTGATGTTGACTAACTGTGATGGATTGATTATTGAAAGATACAATTATATTGAATTACCCTATCTCCCTGCTTGAAAGTGTTTTTGGTGAGGAGGAAAAGTATTTTGTGTGTCCATGTTCCTTGCCTTCTAAAAAAACAAAAACAAACCCCCAAAACCAACACACCTATAATGAAAAAATTCAAGTCCCAGGGGTGTGATTAGAAGTATATGTATATGCTTTTTCCCCTGAATGAGATTTAAATATACCCCAGCTGGGGGCAGTGATTTCACGTGAACATCCTCAAATAGAGAAACTTGAGGCATTTTGCGTTTCCACCATCCGATGAGACAATCTGTTCCATGACCCTCATAGGACTGTAGCAGCTAGCAGCATGGACAATATACCTGATAGGGCTTGAGCACTGGCTGCATCAGAACATAAAGCAGAAAATCTGGTTGGAGCAAACTGACTCTGCACAGGCCACAAAGCCACTGAGACTGGCTTCATCTGCCTGGTCTCCAGTTTGGAGCTTGCCTTGCAGTCAAGGTAAGGGCTGACAGCCAAGAAACAATGTGACTAGAAGGGCTAGTGACACAAAGGTTCATGAACAGGTGTTTCTGAAGCCTTGCCCTTTCTCCTTTTGACAGCGTTCTTGCTGTTTGGGCTAGACAGCAGTTTGCACTGGAAGGCTCAGAAAGGAAACTTAATGGTACTTGCTGGCATTGCTAAGGCTGGTGCAGAACAGTCCCTAGTGGTGGCTGCTGATGAGTCCAGAGCTTCTAGGGTTGAATGCCTCCTCTACTCTTTTTTTTTCCCTGGATGTGGAGGTGATCAGGTGTCATTTTTCCCACTTCTTAGTCTCTTTGTTGTTCTTTCAACTAGATGTTCCAGCCAGTGGAATGTACTTCATGACGTATGAATGGCTGAAAAACATTCTGACCCCTGAGGGGAAGAGGTTAGTTAAACCCTAAGTCAGGGCAGTGCTGACTTTCCCCAGACACTTTGTCAAATTTTCCTGCACCAGCAAATGGCTAGAGAGCAAAATCACAGCAGTAACTGACCATGTCTTTGGAGATTGCTGAGCAGGTGGCCTTCATTGGCTTTCCCATTGAGTTGACTCATCTCACTGCGGGATTGGATTGATTGCTGAACAGTGTGAAGCACTCCCCTTAAGAGCACAGTTAGAAGAGCATTCAGTGTGAGACGTGCCCCTGCTGAGTGCCAAAATCTGGTTTTTCAGGCCCCCTTGTCTCGTCACAGGTATGAGAGCAGTAGGAGTCCGGCCTTTTGACAGCACATTGTCACAAGTTTCTCACTCTGAATTCCTAGCCTACAGTGCTTCTTCTCAGGCTGGGTCTGTACATTGTAATGTCTTTTCTCTCTTAGCCTTTATATATAAAGCTTCGAGGCAGACACCTTTTCAATTCCTTATTTTTGCGCATCCAGAAATATAATTTATGCTATCATGTGCCGAAAGTGTCCATCTGCTATGTACATTGGACAAACGTCTCAGTCACTTCGCCAAAGGATCAATGCCCACAAAACAGATATTAGATAGGATCACAAAGAAAAAACAGTTTCTTGCCATTTCAACCAGAAAGGACGTTGTCTCAGCAACTTGATTACCTGCATCCTGCTTCAAAGACCTTTTAAGAATACACTTGAAAGAGAATCCTCTGAACTGTCATTCATGGTCAAATTGGACACTTTACACTTAAGTTTGAATAAAGACTCTAATTATCTTACCCATTACAAAGATAGCTTCTCCAATTATCACCTCTAATATCATTAGCTCACAGATATTTACCTCCCCCCCCCTTCAAATCTGAAATGTGATTTGTCCTTTTCATATGTGTTCATTTTTTTAAATTGTATCCTTTGGTATATATGGTTGTGACTATTTTCTTCCACTATTTGATCTGAGGAAGTGAGTCTGGCCCATGAAAGCTCATCATCTAATAAACCATCTTGTTAGTATTTAAACAGTGTCAGTGACCTCAGCGTGCCTAGAATTCTCTTTGCTGGGGGCATGGCAGGGATCTTCAACTGGGCTGTTGCTACTCCTCCTGACGTCCTGAAATCCCGCTTCCAGACTGGTGAGTCAGATGTCAGCTCTCTGAGCTGCACAGGATGTAGCATTTCTGAGGCCTGGGTGGACCACCTGACAGAGCAGCCCATGGGTGGGCAGAACAACAGAAAAAAGGCAGCATGGCCTAGCTGGACTGGAACTCAGGAGACCTGGCTTCTAGTCCCACCTCTGCTACAGCCTTACTTGGTGCTTCATCTGTAAAGAGCCACCTCCTTTGCAAAGCTGTCGTAGAGTTGTGCTGTGAGGTGGCATTTATTACAGCTATTCCCCCTGAAAGCATTTACTGATTTCAGATGAGGGCAGGCTTGCGCTGGTTGAAGCAGGTAATATCTAAAATAAAGTCGGGGCGCAGAGACCATCAGAGGGCCTCTCAGAAGCCCTTTCTTTGTGATGGGCAAATCTCCAGGCATCACAGAAATACTCTGCACTCACTCCACAGAATTGTAGTAGGGTCAGCCCAGCCCTAGGGGAGAACAGACATTGGAGTTTGCTGGCCTGCAACAAAGGCTACCTAGGTGCTTGTTGATTCCTTTGGCTCTCCTCCCAGAGGAACATCCCTGTACAACAGGGCTAGCCTTTGGTTCTGCCTTGCATTGACAAGCCTCCTGTATCAAGAGGCTTCTAACCCTCTTTTCCAAATGACCCCATTCTTATTTAAAACCATGACAGTGCTGGTGAGCACATGACTCCTGCTCTCTGGGTCTTTGATCTTTTTGAGTCAGTGACATACTGTCCTCAAAACTATCCTGTCCTTGAAATAATTTACTTGGGAAATAATGCTTATGAATTACGTGGAAGGCTTCAGCATAACCCTTAAAAGTGTCAGCTGGCTGCACTCACAGACTTTAGAAGGCATGTTCTGCTTCTCTCAACAGCTGGTCCAGGGAAGTATCCCAATGGTTTTAGGGATGTGCTGAGGGAGCTTATCCGCGAGGAAGGAATCTCATCTCTGTACAAAGGATTCACAGCTGTTATGATCAGGGCCTTTCCTGCTAATGCTGTAAGTAAACCATGACCTCTAGTGAGCTACAAGGAGCTGGCGTCATGCACCCTAACGGCCTACTGGTTGCCAAGGAGACATCTAGCTCCGTGATTCCAGACTGTTTGACTCTTGTGCTGTCTCACTAGTGCTGCTGATGTTAGAGCATACCCCTCTGGGTATAGGGTGTGGGAGATCTCTTTCCAAGCTTTTAAAATCCTGGCTCAGATCTCTGTAGCTGGGAAACTAACGTAGGCTGTAGGGCTAGCTCTAACAGAAATAGGGTCACAGGCTCTGCAGTCAACCCTTCTTGGTGTTAGCACAAAACTGAGTTATACATATCCAACCCAGCTGGCAGCATTTTGAATCTGCACCTATTTAAATGAAAGGCTCTAACAGATGACAGTGAAGATGAGCAATTCTGCCTTTGCTATAGAGGGACACAGTAAAATCTTTACTTCCTGTTCAAGATAATTGATATTGTGAGAGGATGGAGAAAATAAGATCATGTTTGCAGTTTATAATGCTGCTGTGCCCCTCAGCTTTGAGACGACCTTTTCACACACTCATAGCTTTGTGTGCATAATGCTCATCCTTATGTTCTGTGTCTGTTCCAGGCCTGCTTCCTTGGGTTTGAAGTTGCTTTGAAGTTCCTTAACTGGATTGCACCAAGTGTTTGAAGACTAGGAAATGCCCTCCTGGGACAGTAAGCAAGGCCATGGAGCTGGATTACAGGGATGACCTGAGAAAGCACAGGAATGATGAGTTTTCTAATCCACATTGCCTTACTCACACCCTCTGGGGGGTGTAATAGGTGCCATTCTGAACCCAGAGCCATAACTCTGATGCAGAGTTCTCCTGAGGAGTAGGACGTATGAAAACACTTACCAAATGCACCATAGCAGTAATGCTGTTAATAGACACCTATTGCTATTACCCAGTGGGAGTCCCTAAGTACTTCCTCTGGAAGAAGGGAAGACTCTCTTAATTTCTTTCTTTACTAAAGAAGCAGTTAGTGCTGAAAATGTCTTTCAGACTAGCAATTACCAGCCAGCATGCACTTACAGTCTCAGGGTATATATAGCTTGACACTTGATTGCAAGTGTTGAGGTAAGGGACTGTTTTCCATCAGTTATAGATACTGTCTCATCCGCTGTTAGCACGTTGATGGTGCCTTTATTTGATGTGCCTGTAATGGGGGGGAGGGGGATGTAGACCAGAATAGATTTTAGCTAAATGATATTAATTCAGGGGTGGGGGAATAGGGAGAAATGATAACACATTATGAAGGACCTTGTATGGTGATGACCTTGGACTGATGGTGCACTGTGGAACTAAGTGAATTATGCCCGTATTCCTTAACTAAGCACCACCACCACAGTTAGCAGAGAAACAAATTATAACTGATCTTATCCATCTTCGAAGTCCTTTCTTCCCCCTCTGAAATTCCTGTGGTACTTCCTGGTTCGTTGACTGTATCTCAGCACACAACGTTACAAACCCTGTATGATTCACTGCAATCTATATTTCATCTGATGTCCCTGAAGAATGGTTTCTGGGAGATACTGGCCTAGTAAGTACCAGGGGGATTTCCAGGTGGGAGGAGACCAACTTATTTTGGTGTTGAATTCCATCTCTAGCTTACTAAATAGGGACAGTCAGCCCTGGGTCTGTGTTTGCTTCTGCTCCTCAGCATTAAGAGATCTTGTTAAACAACCGATTTGGAGTTGATGGGATTGATACAAGGGACAGGTAGGACATTCTGTAACCTGTTCCAGTTGTGAGTAAAAATAATCCTGTCTTATCAGGACTCAATAAAGATTGCTGCTGCACAGCTAGAATGCACTCTGCCTTTTGGTGTGTGGTTAGCATATGCAAATGACATGCAAATATTCCCTTATACTTAATTCTGAGATCTTCTTGCCTTGAAGTCAATCCTGCAGACAACTTATGTATAGGTGGATAGCCTGACTTTGGCGGCGTTAATTCCAGACCTATAGACCTGCCTCGGTCTGATACAAACCATTGAAATGTGTACCCAAAAACTGAACTAGACAGCGCCTGAGTTTTCGTGTGTGTGTAGTGTCGCCAGTGATAAGTTAACTTGGGTTTTACGGCTGTTTTCTCACGGCGGGAGGCAAACAAATCAGCTGTGCCAGGTGTGGGAGGAGTGGGCTAGGGAGAGAGTCCCGGCCTAGATTCCTCAGGAGGCACCAAGGGAAGGTAGGGCTGAGGAATAAGCGGTTGCCCCTGAGCAGGCCCACCAATGCATACCATTCAGTCACCATGCTTTCCATTCATGATGCTGTCTTTGCCAGGCTCCCTTCTCTTCCCTGCTTCTGCATCAGCAGCTCGGGACCCTGCTCCTCCCTCCATTTCTCTTGTAGGGAGCAGAAATGTCTTTTGTTTGTTTGCAGGGGTGGGGAGGAGTGAGTGGACCTTCCCCTTGTTTGAAGAGCCCCACAGCTCAGGGCTACCTCCGCTTCTCCCTCCATCCCAGGATGCTCCCTCCTCTCCCTTCCCCCAAATATCTTGCTAGTCCTTGCACCTTAACTCTGTAGCCTCTCTGCTCCTGGGAAGCGAGAAAGGGACGGGAGGAGCCCAGAGCTGCTGTGGAAGGCAGATACAGCTTTCCTTGTCCTGCTGCTGCTCCCTGCTCTGCCAAACACTGCTTGAGTGCTCTCCAGAGAGAGGGAGGGAGCATGGCCTCCTGTGAGGACTGTGCCTTGTGATGCCACATGTGGTCTGACTCTGAGACTGACCAGATCAGTAAAGTCACTGACTTTCTCCTCTGCTGGACTCTGGATTTGTCCAAGTGCTACGGACCGTGCTAGCTGAGCCCCATGTACTTGCTGGCTCTTGCAGCAGAGACCAATAGCAAGTTACAGACGGGGTTCACTTTCCATTGTTGCAGATGAGTGTGAAGGTAGGTTTGCGAAGGACCGTGAGGCCGTTAATAACCCCATGTATCACTAATTACCAGTAATTATCAAGACATTTGCACCTTGCAGAATGCTCTGTCGAGCTGGATACTGACAATGTTACTTGCTGGGGTCTGAGCGAGGAGAAACCCGGGTTCAACCTCTTCGGTCCGGCCCTGCATGAGGGAGTTCGCCAGGGCAGGTCAATCCCAGCCCCACTGCTGCCAGCCTCTGGGCTCTCCCAGGAGGCCACTGGCCCCCACTCCCAGGCTCCCTTTCGGCTGCTGGCCCAACTGGACCCCCAGGCTGGCTTCAGCCCTGACTACCAGCCCCTCTGCTTCCAGACCCCCAGCCAGCCCCACTCCCAGCTGCTGGGCCTCTCTGGTCCAGCAACTGGCTCTTCCCACACTCCCCAGTCGTCCCACCTACTCCTAGGAAGGGACCTGTCCCACTCCTTGCGTAAGCAGCATTTAGAGACCTGGGCAAAGTGTGCCCTGCTACTGGGCCGTGGCCAGTGGGGCCATTGTAACATCTAGAGCATGTTGGACAAAGATGGTTTGAAATGGTTTCTCTGATGGATGGTACCGTTAACTCTTCCTTACAGGGACTGCGGAAAGCTGCTTTTCTGAGTGAGTAGCCAGCTGGACTCATGCCCCCTTCCGCTGCCACAGAAACTGCCTGACCCAAACACTTGTGAAGGGAACAAGCACAAGACAACTAAGAGTAGGAGTCACTACAGGAGATTCACATCAACTTCTGCAAAAGGAACCTATTTGAGATGGTTGTTTCTAAGCCATGAGTGAAGGACAGCTAGGGATTCTGGGCATTTCCCCCTTCGTCCCCCATTTCTAATCAACTGACGCAAAAGCCTGACCTTAACAGCCTGGCTGGTTGTGCCTGGTAAGCATGGAACTGAGGTCAGCTCCCACGGAAAGGAAAGGTCAATGGGCTCTTCCAGCCAGAGGAGGCAGGTTAAAGCCGCTGGAACTGTGATCAGGAAGCAAAGCAGTAGGGTTCCTACCCGGTCACATGCAGTTTCATAACTGTGCTGCCTGTCGGCGGTAGCAAAGAAAACCTGCATGTAAGCAGGGATGCAGCATATGTTTGGAAGTTCAGCCATCTTTATAATGCTGGAGCTGTTGGTTAGTGACGGACACTGACACACCACTTATGCCTGATCTGTGCAATTATCTCTCAGAAGGGAACGAGAAGATCACATACGCAGAGAGAAAGCGCAATCTAAATGTAGCCCAAGGTCCAGTTGCTTCAACAGCAGCCCTGGGAACAACAAGCTGCGGCATGTTGCGAGAACTTCCTGGTTCCTGATAGGCTGTCCCCTCTGCTGCTTTTAGCACAAACAAAAGACAGGACTGTGCAGCACTTTAAAGACTAACGAGATGGTTTATTAGGTGATGAGCTTTCGTGGGCCAGACCCACTTCCTCAGATCAATATGTGGAAGAAAATTGGCACAACCATATATACCAAAGGGATACAATCAAAAAAAAGTGAACACGCATAAAATTGATGAATCAGATTTAAGAATTTTATGTGTTCACTTTTTTTGATTGTATCCCTTTGGTATATATGGTTGTGCCAATTTTCTTCCACATGTTGATCTGAGGAAGTGGGTCTGGCCCACGAAAGCTCATCACCTAATAAACCATCTCGTTAGTCTTTAAAGTGCTGCACAGTCCTGTCTTATGTTTGTGCTAAAAGCAGCAGAGGGGACAGCCTATCAGGAACCAGGAAGTTCTCGCAACATGCCGCAGCTTGTTGTTCCCAGGGCTGCTGTTGAAGCAACTGGACCTTGGGCTACATTTAGATTGCGCTTTCTCTCTGCGTATGTGATCTTCTCGTTCCCTTCTGACAAGTAGGACCAGAAAGGGCTACAGAGGAGCCCTGGACTTGGTTGTTGTGGGGCTTAGTCACTGTGGGAGTTAGAACACGTGGTAAGGGGGCTGTGCTGTAGCCTCTGCCCCCAGCAGGATCTCAGGAGGTACTGAACTGGGAGCAGCAGGCAGGCTGCAAGTAGAGAGGAGGGGCTGCTGAACTGTGATCCTGTTCTATGATTACAGAAAAAAGCCTGTTTCGGGTGGTTTGCCTGAGAGTGTCTGGTCTGAGGTGCGCGCGCGCACACACACACACACACACACACACACACACACACACACACACACACACACACACACACACACACCAGTTGTGTACACGTCACAAAGCTTCCCCTATGCTGAATAACTTCATATTGGGCTAGTGAACAGGGGGTTGACCCATCCAGCTCTCCCCTGGGATTCTCAAGGCTCTATGCCTTTCTGACCTTTCTTTTTCATCCCTCTGACCATGCTAGTATTCTGCTGCTTTGTTTTATCTGCTTCTACCCTTATGGTGCTCCTGCCCTTTCAAATGTGTAACTTTAAATTTCAGACTGTTTCCTGAATTCTCTTTAAACTCCCCTCGCTGTGGAAAAAGTTTACTGCAACAAGTGAGAACTCTCATATGCAGGTTTATGTGCCCATTAGGTCATACTTCTGGAGTGAGATACAATAGGTAACTGGGTGGTGTCTCAGCAGTTCATCATGACATCACTGTGCTGCTCAGATGGCTACAGTGGCAAAGACTTGCCTGCTTGTTAGGACAGAATGCCTGATTCCATTGCAAAAATGCATGCAATTTGTCACTAACGACTCTACCCCTGTCCAGTCATTACTTTACTTGTAACACATTGGGGACTGACTCACTGTTGTAACATTCGGACTCACTGAAGTCAGCCCTCTGATGGATGCTGAAAAGAGCAATCAGAAAGGAAGTGGATTTGCGCCCCAAGGAATGCTGAAAAAGAATAAATGGTAATGATGAAAAGGCCCTATCACAGGACACTGGCAATCTAGAGAGAATCAGGGAAAAGGATGCTCTGCTTCTCTGGGCCTGTTTGACTTACAGCGTGATACACGAGCAATTACCCATACAATATACAATTTAGGACTATGTAGCACTTTAAAGACTAACAAGATGGTTTAAAGTGCTACATAGTCCTGTATTTTGTTTCAGCTACACCAGACTAACACGGCTACATTTCTATCAATATACAATTTAGTGAGAGACAATACAGGCAGTCCCCGGGTTACAATATAGGGACTGTAGGTTTGTTCTTAAGTTGAATCTGTATGTAAGTTGGAACTGGCGTCCAGATTCAGCCGCTGCTGAAACTGACCAGCGGCTGA